CACACACACACACACACACACACACACACACACACACACACACACACTGGAGTGGTTGTAGGGAGATGATATTGCGGCTCCAGTTTGTTGTGAATCTCCCCGAAGCTGGTCAACACCAGTCATATGGGCCGCTGTGGACACGGATCCCTCTTGGTCCTTGAGCACAGACTGTACACTCCCTCATAAATATCACGACCTAACACTTTTCCCTTTTACTGTGCAGTACTTATTCGTAGGAAAGAAAAGTAAGTGGGAGCTCCTCTTTGGGGCGTGAGAGTGAGAACACGCCGCTGACGAATCAAAAGGAGGCACTTGCTGCCCTCTGGAGGACATCAGTGCTCATAACCACAACTCAATACACATCGCACAGGAGCAATCAGCAGACAATTCTGGAGGCCATGTTCTGTAAAGATTGCCCTGAGGCTGGTAATAACAAGGTGATGCGTATAAATGACTTAATAATAACAATAATAAAAAAGGACATTTAAACTGTAGCCAAGAAGCCAGAGCCTTCAGGGCTTGTGAAGCTAGTTCACTGACCAGCAAGGAAACCTGAATGTGAAAACATTTACACTAAAGTAATAAGCTTTGATGATACTGGCATTGTCAACCAGCACTGGTGCCACCTTCCTCACCCGATCAACATTTCTCAACAGTTCAATAAACAGAGCATCTCTAATGTGCCGTCTTTTAGTGTTTCTTCACAATCTACCATGATGTTGAATATAACAGGCATGCAGTATATAATTTCTTTAAAAAACATTATTTACCCAGACTTAAACAGAAAAGGTTTTTATATTAATGCCATATGAAAGTACCAGCAGCCATACAATAAATGGACATAACAACAGGAACCCCCCACACACACCATGTGATAAAACCCAATACAACTGACCTGCAATAGGAAGTACTAGCTTGTGTAGTTTGACCAATTTCTGTTGATCCAACCCTGTGTTAGTGTTTGTGGTTTGTGCTGGTTTGTATTATATTGTACAGGGGTTCCTGTTATTCCGTCCACATTATATGATTGGAATGATTCAGAGACGAGTTAAGGTGAGATCACAGTAGAACCAAATCCCACTTTGATTTGACTCATCACACCTGGACGCCGTCAGATGCGTTAGTGGTACTTACGTTAGATTGAGTGTCTGTTATTTGGATAACTTTATCATCACAGTCATCCGTGTCCATAGATGTTGTGTCAGTCTGCAAACGGAAGGCACAGCTAACATGTAGCATTCCACTGTTCAGCAATGCAGTTAGCCAGTTAGCCTCGGCTATCAATCTGAGCAAGTATGAATGGCATGCACCACTCAAGGTTAGCTTGTTAATTATTACACAACCATATATTTCCCATGAGACTGGTGCAAATGAGTCATGCTAAACTTAGTGGACAGTTATGATGACATTAGAGGGGCTGTTAATTCTATCAATACAATGCATCACTGTGTCTGTATGGACCAACGTCAACTTTGATAATAAAACATAATTAAACTGCTAAAAGGGAAATTGTTAAAGAGGGAGAAGAATACTAAAACATTAACAAATTGTCAAAAAAAAAAAAAAGCAGCAACAGAGATCTGGAGTCTTACCTTGGTTTTCCTCCTGCTGAATTGGAAGATACCCAAGAGGCCTTTCTTCTCTGCTCTGTTCAAACTGGTAGTACTGGAGCGCATGGAGTCTATGAAAAAGAGGAGGAGGAAGAGGAGGACATGATAGTGTAAGTGACTCATAAAAAGCAAAAAAGTCAGGTTCAGTCTGAGAAAAAGTCTGTGAGGAATTTAGTAGAAATGAGTGCCTAATGATCACAGCGTGCATGGGTTAATTAGATAAGAGATTGCCAAGACAGTAGGATACCGTGATTCATATGATATCCAATATATGTGCTTTGCTTTATCTGTATGGTCTTTATTAATTGGTTGTTTTAAAACATTTTGGAACGGTCTGCATACTCCACCTGTTTTTATTCACAAAGAACCGAACAGAATAATCCTCTGAGATTCCTCAGCAGAGGGCGCTATAGCTTTATTCTTCTCATGGACCACCTCTGTCTAACCTTTGCAGTCTACAAAGCAAAGAATGTCTCATGATAACACTGTTGACTTGAGGGCAGGGAGGGAACGTAAACTAATTAAAACAATCACAGAGCTCTACTACTGCGTTCTGGAAAAAAAAGCAAACTAAGTCAACAGTAAATCATTTCAAATTGACCGGCATAGATGATGTTTACACAAGTATCAAAATTAAAACATTAAAACTAAAATTGTTTCTTTGAGACGGGTGGCTAGCAAGCAAACATGCAAGTCCAACATCGTAAAAAAGCAGGGTTAATAAGCAAGCGGCAGTACGTTGGGTTAAACAGCTACGTGGTTGGAACCAGCTAAACTTAAGACGTATCGTGACTTTATACCTGAGTAGTTAAGAGCTGGAGCAGAAGCCCGCTTAGGCTGAAGAACTGGAAAACATAACAAGCTTTAAAAACACAGGAAGTCATTTATTGGACAACTGACCTGCATCAAAAACAATCAATCGATCTGTTGTATTTGCAATGTTGTAGCACCACTGAGTGCATTTAAACACATCATGACACAAACTAAATGATAAACCAGGCTCCATATGCTTCATGACAATAGAGAACGGTTGAAAAACAGAATACAACCGTTACGTAATACTATTTGACCATAAACATTGAGTAATGTTCTAAATGTCCTTGCTTGTATCCGTCATGACCATAAACCCCCAAGCTTTTCCTCTGTGATCGCTCTCTGTGACAACAACAGTATCTGGAATTTTGGGTGTGACTGTTACCATGGTACTGACCGACGATATCAGATCTTAGACCATAATTCAACTTACTATCAGATAAAGAACACAACATACTAGTTATTGTATCCCCAGGGACACTGTATTTACCAAGGTTTGTTTAGATGAAAGTATTATCGAGGCTTTGCCATATGGAGGGCTGTCCTCAATCAGTTGGTAGGGAGCGGAGGTGGATAAGAAAACCCTCATTTGTGCACACTTAAGGTCCCTAAACAGAAGCTCACAAGACAGAGAATGAAGAAACATATACGTTCTGTTGTGCAACTGTGTTATTCTCATCATGAATATAAAACTTTGCTACATCTTACATTCAACATTGCCTTTTTATGGTGGCTTAAGACAAAGCTGTCGAATTTGTAGCAGAGCTAAAAACCTATCTTTTGCTTGTAAATGCATTTATACATTTTTACAAAGATATTGTGATTCACTGATAGCATATGCTACAGTAATTGCATTGGGGATGATATGCAGTCACAGTAACATCAAATAACATGACATACAGTAATAGCTGGACAAGCCAAGGCACCCATCAGTATCCATGATGACGTCTTTAATCTGCTTTAAATAGCTATCGGTCATTAACACAAACCCAGAGGGGCTCTATTCATGTTTAATTCATTGAATCGAACAAAACTAAATAACTATGTAAATAATTATATTAATAACCATTTTTTTCACATTTAAAAATTATAAAATGATGTTATATTTGAAGTGGCTATAATGATGTTTTTTTTGCTTTAAGTTATTATAAAGTACATATTGATTGCACAATGTGATAGCTATTGAATAATGACACCTTTAGTGTTCAGATTGGTTCCCTGGAAACCTCGCTTTCACGCTGCAATTCTGTCTGCCACCGGGTTCCATCTCCCGGGGAAATGAGGGCTCGATTTACGGCTTTGCTAACCATTGCTCAACCAAAGCAGCCAAAGGATAGCCCTTTTGTTTTACCCGGTAGCTATCCCCAGTTACCAACGAGTATCAATGTCTTTGAAGTTACTATCCCCAGTAGCGTATGTGGCCCACCGTGGAACAATCCTAGTAACTGTGCGGGAGAAAAGAAATACAGTGTGTCCTACTCCTGTGTGGTTGGTTGTTGCCAAGTTCTGAGGAAAATGGAAAGCGATCCGGTTGTTTTTGCGACAGAAGCACCAACTATGATAACACTTGGAGATGCTAAGGAGGGGAACGTTGAAAAGTTGTCTGTAAAAATGTGGTTACTGTTCTGGGAACTTAATACACATTGAATATTAAGCAATCTAAAAGTGACTGAACCCCCAAAAAGAAAAACGAAATAGACAGAATCAAGTGATCAAGGTTTACCTAGACTCTGATTGTGTACGTAGAGCTCCTTGATCCCCAGCTCTGTTAGAGATTTGTCCAGCGGCAACTCGTGGCGACTGATGCTGTCCTTCAGCAGCAGGACATGTGTAGGCTCGAACTCGCACTTGTCACAGATGACTGGTACCAGAGCCTGTAGGGGTACAAACGGGTTGACCCGTACCACTGCCTTCTGGCTGCCGTGGTAGTTCACCATCAAACGCACCGTTTTCTGATGTAGAGAGGGGAGAATGGTGGGAACAGAAATGGAGAAATGGATGAAATAAAAAGGCTAATTGGGGCTCACTGTTGTGACTATTGGAGGCATTTTCAGATTCTGCAGTCACAGAACGGGGATTTGAACCAGTAGGATAACAAGAGTGTAAAAAGATAAACAAAGTGAAGGTCCTCTGTTGGATACATCTCTACTAAAGAAAAAAGGAAATAGGACGGCCTTGATGGAAGAAATAAGACAAAAATAATCAAAGCTCAAAGAGCAGACAGTACAGGTAAACTGAATGAGTTGCTGTCTGAAGGTTTTATAGAGTAAGAACAAAACGCGTGAAATGTAAAACATGTGCAAAGGAGAGATGGAGAAAGTAAAGACACTTCAACAATGAGTAACTTAAGCTTAGACTTTGGTTGCTGACAGAAAAAAAGGAGCATTTAATAGACCAAAGATGATGATATCTGTGTGCATTCATGCACGTGATCTTTGATGTGTGTGTGTGTAAACCTACACATTACATAGTATTCTATTATGGAGACAGAAGGGCCATTCTGTGCGACGGTCTTTATCACTAAGTGGTTCACATCAGCCTCTATAAAAACATACTCCAGTCCAAGTGCCTGAAATATTCTTCTTGCACAGGCTTCTGCCAAAAGGTAATGAACGTCTCCAGTAAGACATCAGTGTCACGGTCAAAAGTGTCAAAAAAGATGACAGAATAGTAGACATTAGAGGGGTACAGGGGTCCTTCGGTTATCTTAAAGTAGGGTGAGGGGCTTGGTGTTGCTGGATGAAAGTGGTGGACATTTTTCAAAAATCAACAGTTTTTTTTTTACTTTTGGGGAGTGTGTGTAGTGCCCAAATCTTCTGTTTATCTCACTGGTAGTTCTCCAGGTGTTGTTCTTCAGACAAATGAACTAACAGAGGCAGGCAATCCCAGTAACACAGTACAGTAACACTTCATCACAGTCAAACAGACGCTTTCACTCTCAGGTGAGGTGTTTACTCCAAAAGTTAGTCTATGTGTTTTTAGGGTCCTATGGCAATGCATCAACCTTGTGTTGCATGTCATTGAAATGTCTTTTCCTACATTTTGACCACCCCATTTATATTAATGAGGGTAGATTTTACATTAGAATCACCTCTAAATGTCGTATTAGACTGCATTGATTGGTGTAGACAGATAAAACTGGAATAGCGTCAGTGTCTGGCCTGAGGCCAGGCGGGGTCAAAGAGAGAGAGAGCAACCAGCGAGCCCTGAGAAGAGCAGAGAAATAATGCATGGTAACTAAAGGTAAGGCACTCATCAAATATTCAAACTGTAGGAGGAGAGCAGAGAAAAAGGGGCAGACAAAGAGACTAACGCTCAGTCGAAATAAGTTCAGGTAGGCAAGTGAGTTGTAAAAAAAAAACTGATGGCAACAAGACCGGTGATAAAGACGAAAAATGGCACACGTAAGACTGAAACACCATAAGAACTGACTCCAATGTCATGCTCGGCCAGTTAATCCCAATTGGCGTCCTACCTTAGCATGGGCCCTTACAGGTTTCACTGGCCTTGCTTTCTGCCAGCCGTCAGAGGCAAAAGGTAGAGAGAGGAGGGACGGACATTACAGAGGCCGACAGGGTAAGGAGCTATGCACACTGCACTATCACATGAAGGGCTTTTCCACTGCTATTCTAGACAAAAACATAGATAGCTTTGGGGTATTCTTTTGATTTCTAGTTATTATGCACACTCTTATTATTTGATTTGCTTTAATTTGTTAACATATTAGATGTCACTGTCTCAAAGTCCAGAGGAATCCATGCCAAGCCGAACCAAACCTAATTTCAGCAGCGTTCATAACTGCTGTGACATGTATAACACCCTAAAAGAACAAACATATAACACCGTCAGGCGCCGCTGTAACTCACCTCTGGCACTTTGGGCGCCGGTCTGCGCACCACTCTCTCCTCCCAGACTTTCTCCTTGATGAGGACGCAGGCCACGTCGAGGGAGCCCAGCAGAGCGTTGGGCTTGAACCCCAAAGAGTGGCCCTCGGGCGACAGCAGCTCCAGGGTGTGCAGCGCCGGATTCAGATGGTGGCGGCTACACAACTCGACCAGCAGGTCCATCAGCGCCTTACTGAGAGAGGGAGGGAGGGATGGAGACAGAAAGTGAAAGAGAGAGGGGGGGAGGGGGTTTGTAAGAAAGAACCACAGGAGGAGACGGGGAGCGAGGGAGGATAAGAGGGAGGCAGGAGAGAAGATTGGGTTACGAAGCCTAACTTAGTTTTAGCTCTACTGAAGGGAAGAGTTACTCACATCTGATGCACTCAGGAGGAAGAATGGCTAGTTGATAGACAAAATACGAAGCAGTTTAAACAGCCATAGTGTAGATTGGATGGCCATAGCACTGATTTCGGCCTGAACAAATTAACAATTCCTCCTGTGTTAATATTTATTGGTCATGTATCAAACCATTGTGAAACCCCATCAAATCCCATCAAATCCAATCCATATCATTTAGAAGAGGTATGGTAACACCTACATTACTTGACAAAACTGTTGTGTGAATTGAGACTAAAAGCTGAACACGAGCCTAAAACCATATTTTGAAGAACTGTTCTTTGAAATATACAAGAATAATGTAATATTACGGTTTTCTTCGTCTATCTTTAGCAGGGGAATTAAAAACAAACAAAACAACAACAGCAGCTGTTGTAGATTTTATCCGTACGGTTTATCTCGACAGAAACTCTGAAAAGAGCCTCCAACAATAAAAAGGCAGCGACAAAACATGGTGGCATAGAGAAATAATGACAGAGTACTTGTTGACATGAGTACTTATGTCCATTAAGCCACGAGAGAAGCTCTGTAGTCCGCTGCGCTGCTTTGTGTGTCTGGTGCAGCTGATGAGGAGGCCTGCAGTACTACCTGTCAATCCTCAGATAAAGAAACCAAGAGACAGTCTCCAATGTTTTGGGAACAGCCAGATCAGATGACAGAACTGAGAGAGCTACCGCCACAAAGGACACCATTGACAATCACTAAAACCACAATCAACAGACCCAGTGCGCTGTGTTACTATGTGCTCCTTAAGATGAGTTAGCAGATTCACAACACAATCACTTTCCAAAGGTAACGGTCAAATGTGGTATTAAATATGTTACAGTTTAACCTGGTAACCCCAATGGCTATGTAGCCAAGCGTGGGTCATTCTTACTGAACTTGAGATTTAAAGTAGTTTGCATCATGTGATTTTCTAATCATGACAAGTTGGGGTAAGGTTCAAAAGTTGTGAGTATAAATGGTATCCTGATTTAAATTTAAAAATAATAAATACATAATAATAATTATTTGTATCTTGAAGTTGTTATTGCAGATTGAATTTTTGGAAAAGCCAACTGTATACTATAAAGATACAACATTGGTGTAATACTATAATCAGATCTGCACATTAAAGTGTTAGCATCAATCCTTCAACAGAGCTCAACAAATGTGCAAGTTTGAAATATAAACCATTCTGAACTTTAATCAAACATAAACACTATTTACTGTCTTTACATAATGTTTTTTAAGGAGATATTGTTGTCTTATTTTGCCTTGTTTGATTGCCAAGCTCGTACAATAAAGTAATTACAGTAATGGTTGGGGGCTGTGCTACTTAGTATCAGATATTTATGACACATCTTATGAGGATCTTATGAGGGAGAGGGAGAGCTGTAAACACACCCCCTTTGTAGCCAACATGTAATATCATACATTCCTTTCCCCAAAATGATCTAGAGTAAGGCTGCGATACTAACCAACACCTTTTGAAACAGTTTCAACAGGCAGTTGGCAAAGTTCCACATGTTGAAGTAAAGATTAATATTATAAAACGATACTAATTACTTACTTTTACTTCTAGTCAGAGGTAGCACATTGACGTCTAGTAGCCTAAAGTTTGCACATGTTTATCAAAAGAGCAGCATGTTGTTCTGTACTGGGGAGGCATCCCTGATTTTCTGCCCCAAATGAGAGAACCTCATTAGGGACAGAGGGCACCAGCAGGACAGCCTTCATTGGGAGACTCTCTGGGACAAAGCTTGTGCTGGGAACGGGACCCCTTGACGAGGCCCCACTGGCACAGCAACGAGTCTCATGCTGTTTGTCTGGTGAGCGTACAGTAAAACCAATTGTTCAGCTAAGCAATAGCTAAGATCCTTGTATCTATAGATTTACTATAGATACACCGAGATTCAATTTGTGCCCGTGTGCCCCTCCCTGCCCCTCTCACCTGCCATCCTCAGTTATTGCCGTCTGGTTCCCCTGTGGTAGGGTTAGTTGTAAATCCACCGTGGGCCTCAGCAGGTTCTCCTTGGCGTCCACGCCTGACGTGCCTCCCCCGTCAGGTACAGCGTTTCTAAAGATGTGGCGCGGGGCGGGTAGAGGGACCTGTGGCGGAGGTGGGGCGCGTGCCTTCATTCTCTTCCTGGGACACGACAACGGCAAAGATACACAGAAGATACAATATTATGAACTCTTGGGTGTTTGTTGTAGTTTCCTAGATCGTACTACGTTTTCCATGTGGGACTTTAGTGGAGTATGTTTAAAAAAAATAAATAAAAAAGGGGGTATTTATTTCACATGTTGTACATCAATCTGTTATCGGATTCATAGAGGACACAATATGTTTCGATTAAGTCAAGAAAGCAATGAATCATTCCTTTGTTCATCCGATGCAATGTTTCCACACTTTGAGTCACGTGTTTTCATTCTTATTAACAAATGGAATGATGTCGATTGTTTGAGTTTGTCTTGAGTCCAGTCTTAGTGACACAGCACAACAGCAACCCACTGCCGCGCTACTCAGGGAGCAGCCTGAATACCAATGACTTTGTTTCCGTTTGTGACTCAACCTTTCTCTTCACTTCCATTACGAAACGGTCTTCAGATGTGACAGACGCAGCTGATCAGACGGAAATCGAGCACTTCATTCCTCTAACAGTGACAACCCGCTTTCCTACAGCACACATCTCAGCACGCACTCCCTCTCGGCCTTCGCAGCACAAATATTAGCCCTAGATAACGAAAAGAAAAAACATCCCACTCACGTCACAAACAGTCCTCGTGTTGATGAAGTGTTCCACGCGGGTTCTATGCTACGTCAGGCTGTTTATAAATCCAGCTCCAAGGACGAGGCGCACTCTCCGAGAGAACGCGTTAACGTTAAATCCAGTGGCGTATTATCCAGGGTCCTTCATGGTGCTCCTGCCCAGTGTAAAAGGCAAAGGAGAGCACAGTGAAGGAAGAATGCATGTGAATATAGCACAGTGAGCGGACTCTAACCTGGCCAGAGTTAACCATTAACAGCTGAGTCGGATATCAACTCTCACCCACACGACCCGTGGTGTCATTGACTCATTATGCAATGTAGAAAGTGTTCAGGGGAGTGACAGACCTCACTTCGCGGGTTGACGGCATTGATCGTAGTGTAAACACAGTGCAGATCATTTCTAATCACCAACTGCAAGGTGCATTTAGAAACGAGCAGAGAACGAAATGAACAGCTTAGAGACCTGTCAATGTGTGAAATGTTAGTATTTTTCCGGTCGGTCTTTGAAGGTAAACAGAAGTGGGCTCTGTGAAGCTGTGGGACTGGGCTCCGGCCAAGCTTAACACAGTCAGCTAGTATCCTTCTCTCCCTTTGGCCTGTCTCACCATAGCATTTCTCTCTCTCTCTCGCTCTCTCCCTCTCTCTTTCCCTCTCTCTAACTCGCACAAAGACTCCTTTAGGAAAAGCCTCATCTCCCACAGAGTAAGGATGAGCGAGCGTAAAGAAAGAGTGAGGGAGTAAAGGAGAAGCAGGGAGCGAAGGCAGGAAACCCTGCTCCGCACGGGGGGGGCAGTAAGTGCTGAGCTGCTACAGGGACTGAGTTACAAATGAGCTCACTCTCTCACACACACACTCTCACAGACACACACACACACACACACACACACACACACACACACACACACACACGGTTACTAATGGACCTTTCAGAACCACTCCGTTCTTTTCGCTCGACTAAACAGCATTAACACGGATATATTTCTGTCACCATCCTCTTTTCTGAACGTTTCAAAAGTAAGGATCTAAAACAAATAGATGCTGAATTCATCTCAAACTGCCAAAGGTGCAGCAGACTTGTGTGGTCTAAAATCATCCAGGACAACATGTGAGCAGCTATAAAACAAAGTGAACAGAGAACACCTGTATGGAGTTTGGAGGAAGGTTACTTGGATTTTTTTACCTGCCACAGCCAACATTTACCTTGTATGTGGATGGCGGCCATTACTGTACATAATACAATAGTGTTGATGGTGGAGATATAATCTACGATGCCATTCTTAACAGCATAAACTACAGCTCAATCCTCCAAAACCCCATGTGTTTCTTAAGAGTTACGTAAACACACTCTATAAGTGAGGAGAGTTTGAAGCCGTCCTAACCCAAACACACATTTTTGACTAAATGAAATACAGCTTAGAATTAATAAAATCAGACGAGGCAATATTTGATCAAACACTGAGTAAACAAGATCAACAATCTGACCGCGTATTTGGTGAACTTTTGCTTCTTGTCAACATGGCATAATCACTTACAGCCTTACCTTTGTAGGTAGACGTGGGCCTATATGCAGCAGACCAGTCGTCCTATTTTGCTGTCTGTCTGATAGGCTCTTTAACAGATTAGTCTGCATGTCTGTGTGTGTGTGTCTGTGTGTGTCTGTGTGTGCGTGTACGTAAGGCTGCCTACTTCCTGACCCAAATACAACCTCGCTCACTCCTGATCAAGTCACTATAAATCAAGCCTGGATGTGAGAGTAGGACCATGTTTGTGCAAAGACACTGATCAAGGTGAATATAGGACAAAATGAAGACTACAAACATTTGAAACTGTCCCACACCGATGGAAAGAAAAAGGTGTGGGATGATTGCAGGGTGTATGCAGAAAAAATGAAATGCCCCTCAAATTACAGGCTTGGCCAAACAGCGCTGCAAACACAGCGCCACAGCGAGCACAATGCAAATCCATGAACGTCACAGTCAGATTACTGTTGTTAGTCGACAAGTTCAATTACATAACACTGCTCAGACACACCGGAGACCTTAAGGATTTTTGGGGGGGGGGGGGGGGGAGTAACCGTCAGTGACTCTATTTATTGAAGCCATAGAAACAGTTCCCACTCCTGAAGGTCTTGTAAAAGTAATGGAATATATTAGTTTATGCTCTGAAATGTGCTCTGTCAGCATCATTCCCACCAAAACAAATTCCATTTACAAGTGGGCGGCTTCTTTGTTGAAATTTCTTTTCTGCTAAGTCCGCTGCTCTCTTGAGCCTTACAACTAATGATATAGATAACATTTAATTAGTATGTGTTTTATGATATTTCATTAAGCAAAACCAACATGTAAAATGGTCAGCCAGTCTGTTACTGATACCTACAATGCAATGGTTCAGAATGCTACACACAAGAGCGCATGAGAAAAACAGAGACAGACAGACAGACTGGACTACTGTAAACAACAACGTCTGTTGTGGAAGTGAGTAAATCAAACTATGAATGAAGGCAGCAGACAGAGCCACACTCATGCAGTCAGAGAAGCAGTAACGGAGACAGACAGACAGACGTGTCCCCAGTCAGAGACATGGACGTCCAGTCAGACAAGAGTCTCTTTAGTGTCAGACAATACGATCACTACAACAATGAGCCACCGTCCTCTAATGAAGACAACCAAAAACACAGCTGACCTACATCCCCTATGAGACACTTTGTTTTGCATTCTGAGAATATAAACAATGGATGAAACCAAAGCTGTGTGGCATATAATAAAGGATTGATGTAAAAGAATGCGTACAATGTTTGAGTAACATTGACAGTAAGAGAATATTTCTACTGTACTGACCAGTTAACCGGCTGGCTGTCATGCAGCTCTACAAATCAACCTTTAAAGACAGAGGAGGAACAGGCAGCAGGAGCTTGGTTGGTAGAGGAGGTTGGCTATCAATAGCAAGGTTGATGGTTTGATCCCTGACCTCTGACCCTGAGCAAGACATGGAACCTAAAAGTTCAATAATAGAAATATCAAAGTATATCAATCTGCAACTCAGAGAGTAAACTGTATTCAAAGCAATACTGCAAAATCAACTTGATTTGAAAATAATAAAGCTCCATTCTGTAATATTGCTGACTGATGACAAAAAATGTCCTCAGTTCATGATCATACCTTCAAAAACATGAAATATTATTTGGGAGACACATCAGTAGAAACATCAACAAAGTAAGCGTGTTTTATCCCCGAGTGCCACTTCAAGACCACGCCCAACACTTGAGTGTTTAACCTCCCATGATCCATTGGACACTGTGAATGCTACACATCCTGGACCCAGAGTCACTCCCCTGACACTCACAGCATACCCCTCTGGTATCACGGTGCACCCATGGCAACGTATATTTATACTACTTGAGTGCAAACCTCAGTTTAGTAGCAGCTGTCGATTTTGGGGGGAATGCACACAGTGATCCAGAGAAAAGAGGAGCAGAAATGACACACGAACCAAACGGGGTACAGAAAGAGTGTGAAAGCTTTGAGTATTGTGTGCTGTGTTGTGAGTATTGTGTGCTGTGTTGTGAGTATTGTGTGCTGTGTTGTGAGTGTTGTGTGCTGTTGTGAGTATTGGAGACATATAAGCCCAGTAAAGTGTTTGTTTACAGTTGCTAGGCACTCAACTTCCTTATTCAGCATATGCCTTGTTGCTCGTATTACCAGCCATGTGGTTAAAAAAAACACACCCCACTGTAAAGCAGAGCACAGAGGCTCAATGAGACCGATAGTGTGGCCCTCTGTATTCTCACTGCAGAGGTGGTCCACCACAACCACCAATAGTTTTAACATAACTCAACACATAATTCTCTGAAATCAATAAAAGATTTTTTAAAAAGCGGCAAACTCTGGTACTGAGAAATGAAGCCAATGTGAGAGTGCCCAAAAACTGTAGTTCCTCAAATGGCCACTTGAGGCTGACTCCATAAGCGAGTCAATCTCCATAGACCCCCATGTTAAAACGCCCAACTTTAAAGAAGAGATAAACAGGTTTACAGCCGGGTACAGAAAACTATTTTATGTCTCTATAGCCAATAACCCTGTTCAAAACAACTGTGCGGGAGGTGACTTTTTATACAACTCATCCATTTAAATTATATTCAGCTTTAAAGTTATGCATAATTAAGGGCGTGGCCGCTTTGGGTGACAGGTGGGTGCCTTTCTAAACGCCTATTTTTGTATACTCCTGTGTGAATTAAATACTTACTCTCATTCAAGGACTTTAGTGCAAAATGAGCAAAACTGTTTCAAGTGAAATTATAAAAGAAAACATATATATATTTCCATATGGCACATTTGTTAAATCGCTTTGAACTGAGGGGTAATAGAAAGTGTGATGTAAAAACAAAACAGCAATCTTCAAATACGCTCCCTCAAAAATATTTCAAGTGCTCGTTGTTGTCAATTTAGACGACGTAATTGTGTATCACAATATCTCAATATATGATTTCATCACGATATGACTCCATTGAAAGACAATAAGTTGTCATATTGACTTATCGGCCAGCGCTACTGCCATGTTTACAGTAAGGTCCCAGCATTTAAATAAGAATAAAGCAGGTTGCGTGTTACCTGGTTCACCTGATTACAAAGTGATGACTTCTCTACGACTATTTAAACAACCAGGTTAGAGCTCAGGACAATGTGTTCTACAGGAGTGCGGAGTCAGTAACAGTAACATAATAACCCAAGGGAGATAAAAGAAGACAACACCACACCTCAGCTGCTTAATGAATTGTTACTCATTGGGATCAATTAGGTTGCCTCCACTCCTTCCAGTTCTTTGAAGGCTTTTACGTTGATGCATTGCAATGACCTCAGATTAAGTCAGCCACCGGTGATCCACTAGTATCTGTTTCACACCTGAAGGAGAGAAATCCACTTACTGCAAACAGCACTCCAAACATCCTCTCCTGACACACATGTAGTCGTGTTGTCCTCTTGTCACCAGTGACACAGAGAGGCACGCTGTGGCAGTTTAATGCCAGACATATTCCAAGACAACAATAATCCTCCAAAAATAGAAGCAGGAAGCCTGGCATGCCTCTCTGTCTGAACAGCTGGAAAAAGAAAATATCATGTCTATCTATTTCCTTTGGAGAGCTTACTTCACTAACTATTATTCACACACAAAAGGTATTCCCCTTCTATCCTTAGCATTCAAGACATTTCGCCTATTGCATCTTCTCCAGCTATCCTTCAATGACTGTGGCAATATCCCGGTGGTTTCCTGACCGATACATCACATATGGAGGGATAAATAAATAAATGATCAAGTCACATAAGCATTTACAGTGTACGTATTGTTATTTCATAGGTACAACAAGAAATGGGATGTACACTGCGCACCGGCTCAAGCAGACATAAAGCTTGTGGATGGCCCACAGCTGAGGAGCAGCAGAGGGGAAAGGGAAGGAGCGATAATGAACGTTGATGTGAGGGAGGAAAGAAAGGATCTCAGGTGGCACAAAAAGCCCCCACATGGCTGGAGAGCGACAAGAAAACGGGGAATAGATGAGGAAAGATGGGTGGAGTCCAGCATCAGAGAAGAAAGGAAGGAGAGGTGGAATGTAGAGGCGGAACAGCAGGAAATAATAATTAGTCTGTTCACTATTCCCTAAGCTGCATGTTCAATTAGAGAGAGAGAGAGCTGCTGCTGCTGGAAGAACAAGAAGAAAAACACGTGTGCTACAGATACACAGCTTAAAAGCACCCCGGGATCCTTTGATTCGAAGAAAATACCAATCAGTTTAAAGGTTATACAGGAAAATACTGACATGGCGGCAGTGTTTGTACTAAATATGAAATATAAAATCAAGATAGCAGCAGCGTTAAAAGGTTCAAACGCGAGTAAAAGCATCACAACTTGTGCAGTAGAACGTTTTCACTCCTCCGCCTCAGCCTTATCAGGCGATACCGCGGGTGTGGCACGTCAGCTGGCGTTAGAAGAGTCTGTCCAGTCCGAGCGCGCTCACACACACACACACACACACACACACACACACACACACACACACACACACTACGTACAGACCGTCTGTCTTCCTCTCGGACAAACCCACATACCACAATGACTAACATATGACTGCAGGCTTCCTGAAATAAATCCCAGCAGCCCATAACAGCTGCATGACAGTAGGGACAGACACACTGTACGACAGACACAGATACATGAGAGTATGATGCACACAGGCATACTTTGTTGTTAAGGGTGTCTGCCAAAGTTTTCTTCCACCAAGGACGGAGGTTGGCAGATAGCAGAAGTAAAAAAAAAAAGGTGAGACACTGGTGAGGAGAACAACAATCTATAAATACCGCCAGTCTAGATGTCTCAAATGTGTCTGATGTATCACGGCATGGCTTTGGAGTGAATGCATTCAGAGAGCACAGAGCAGGGATCCATTATTTAATCCTACTGTGCCAGTCCTTATAATAAACTCCCACTTAGAGCATGAACCACACTCGACTTTGCTGTAATTGTTAATTACACACACAGAGGGTCTGTTCTTATGAATAAGGGTGGCACTCTCCGCAGTGAATTAAAAAGAAGTGGACTACTTTATCGCATGTGTTCAGAGGAATAAATCACAAAGTTCATCATAAGCTCTACCAGTCGGTCTATATTTCTACCACACACACTGACTCCCTATTGAACCCAAAAATTAAACAAAGGTTATACGGTGTCCTTTTTTGATCTAATAAGTCCAGCGTGTACTTCGGTCAAGCTTGTAGCAGCATTGCATCCACACCCTGTCTATTTATAACAGGGATGACAGACATAGCAGATATTACCAGATACATATTCAACACGTAGCCTCAAATACTCTCTCTCTCTCTCTCTCTCTCTCTCTCTCTCTCTCTCTCTCTCTC